TGCAGGAAAGTCTGATCTTGTGGAATACAGAACAAAATAAATACTTTAAAAAGATGAAAAAAAAAAAAAGACCCTTGGTGAAAAGTGAAATGCAGGAGACTCGTGTAGCAAGTAGCTGAACACTGACTCTGGGATGCTGGGCAGTCACAAGGGAAACTGGCTGATGGTTGCACTGCCTTTACAACGTCCACTTCTGCAGATGAACGCAGCTGAGGGTTCTCCTTGGGGAGAACACGGGGCCTACTGCAGAAATCAGATGCACCCATAAGCTTACCCATTCATTCAGTCTGCCACTCATTCACTGACTCATTCGTTCACCCAACCTCACAGAGAGTCTATCACAGGTCAGGCAAAAAGCCCCACCAAGGAGAAGTGCACAAAAACCATGTTCCCCACAGGGAAACGCAGCTACAAACACTGGAGGTGGGCCAGCACGCAGAGAGCCATCTTCCTCCTTGATTCCTGCGCCATGGGGGACAATCCAACAGGAGGGCACTGCTGGTTTCTCTCCACTCTCGATGGGCTCTCCGCTGGCGAGAAGACAAGTAGACACGCGCAAGCCTCTCTCTCTCTGGGTCCCAGGTACTTGCTGCAGGAGCCCATCTCCTCTCTGCAGTCCAGGCTGCCAATGTCACAGAGACAGGTGCTCCCATAAGGGGTAAACTCGCTGCTGGGATGCAGTATTAGCAAATCCACTTTACCATCCAGCCCAAAGTTAGAAAAAAAAATAAAAAATAAAAAAACTCCCGTACCCTTCTAACCAAGACTATGTCTTTATCTCCCATTGTGATTGTGACTCAGTTCTGAAGGCCAGCAGGGTACAGAGTCACTTTTCATGACAGCTTCTCTTTGCCATGAGATTCCAACTATCTTGTTTCTTCCTCTTTCCTCAGCCACTGTTAGGATTACTTATCCTTACAATATTTTGGTGATGGGCAGTTTTGTTACTCTTTCACAGAAGAGAAACTATAGAATGTGAGCACTGAATGACTAATCAGAGGCTATCTGATAAGTTAGCTTGTTCATTTTAGATGGAAAATGCAGATTCCCTAGCCCAATGTCATTTACAGCACATAGCCTTCTACTGGAAATCTTTTTGGAGGGGTGGTGGATATTGGGGCTCATCTTTCTGCCATGGAAGAGGAACTATTATTCTATTAGATCTGGAATAGAAACACTATATAAGGTATTTCTCCATTCCATTTTTCTCATACAGCCGAGGATGATGCAGGGAGAGGAAATGGGGACCAAGGTAGGAAAAGTTTTCTTTTGCTCTGAAGCATTTATATTGGGTTGGCCAAAAAGTGTGTTCATTTTTTTTCCATAACGCTGTATGGAAAAGCCTGAATGAATTTTTGGGCTAACCCAATACTTCACTCAAGAAAAAGTTACTAAGGTCCTCCAAAGTGCCAGGTACCAGTCTTGGAATACACAGGTGGATACAACACTATGCCAGATGAATCTACTTTTTCCCTCTGCCTACAACTCGTGTTAGAAAAGTGTCTCAATGGATACAACTGTCTTCACAGACTCCACGGAGAATGGATTACTCTTGGTTTCTACAGGCTTCCTCTTTTCTAGAGGTCCTAGTTCTCTAGATTAATGGAGTAATTTCTTACAACATGTTTTTAAGAAGAAAATGGATGCCAATACACTCAATCTGAATGCAGACCACAACACATTCTGTGGCTGGAAAGCACAGCTTTAAGCTGCCCACAGGTATAAGACTCGGATCATAACCAGGTTAGGGACTACACCTAGGATGGTGTAATTAATTCAAAGAAACCTTAACTCAGGATAGCCATAAAATACACAGACGGCATCTCATTTTCAATGTAAACTCAAAGTTACAGGTTCAGCAAAATGAATGAGCCACCCACTTGCTCTTAACACTTTTACAAGTTCAAGCTTACTTAAGAAAACAGGTTACACACTGCAAGAAAAAAAAAAACTTCTAATTTGTTACTAATTACAAAAACTGACATGAATAAGTGAAAATTCAGGGTAGAAAACAGGTTCCAAACAGTATTGCCTTTTGAAAGAAAGATGGTAGTACAAATAACGGTTACGGAGAATCCACCTTCTGGGTACCCTTAATAAGCCCTTTTCTTTTATTTAATACTCACAACTTTAGTAGGACCTAAACAGTAGTGTGCCTATTTTTTCCAGATGCAGAAACTAAATCTCAGATGTTAAGTAACATGCATTATATTTCCTATACCATTCCCACTGGTGAAATTCCTTTCTCAGTGAGCTTGGGGAAACTGGTTGTTCCCTGGATTTGGGTTGGGAATTTTGTATGAAAAGGCCATGCACAGCAGGACATTTAGCATTGCTGGCCCATGGACACAAAATATCAAGCCAGACTCTGCATTATCTCAAACACGCCCTAGGCAGAAATATCCCTCTCAGATGAAAACCACTGCTCTAGAAGAGTCTTTGGGCATCAGAAGACTAAAGAGAGGGAGCACTTCCTTTAAAAGCCTCCTTACCTTCAAACCTCTCAGAAATCCTAAGAAAGCCCCATGCACCCTTAGGTAGTCAGTTACAAAAGCTCCATGGATTTATTTCCCATGCATTTCATGAGCATTTATTGAATACCTATCACGGGTCAGGTAGTATACTATAGACTGGGAGTATAATGTCAAAATCACATGGTCTCCACTCCTAAGGGGTTGCAGTTTCACTAGAGTCCAGTGAGAGACATGAAGTAAGGCAAGTGTTAGGATGGATGGAAGCACAAGGTGCTTAAGGGAATAGAATGCTAGAGGCACTTGCCCCAGACTGGGTGAACCCCTCAGAAGCCAGAGGGAAAGGAGGGCTAAGACAAGTTCCCAGAGGAGTTTACCCTGCACCTTGAGAGACCAAGTGAGAGTAGCCAGGAAGGGCCAAGTTCAAACCAAGAAGCCTGCCTTTTGTAAAGACCAGAGACAGGAATATTTGCAGCAAAGTTTAAAACGTTCCCTTTATTCTTCAAGTCGAAGCCTCATTGTGATTCCAGCTCAGGATCTCCTGTTTACTGGACAGCCACTTTAACCAAACAAGCCACTAGAAAATAAAATAAGCTCTCCACAGTCCAGGCATACTTCCTTTCAAAGCCTTTGTTTTTGTAAGGTCTGGCTTCACTGGTATAATAACCCATCAGACAAGAAATATGACTAATTCTATACTTCTTCCAGCAAGCAGGAAATTGTTTTCAAGTACACCCTGGACTGGTAACCAGTGGGAGTGCCCTTCACTTGAGGACACAGAAGAGTGGGAAAGAGAAGATATCATGTCATCTCAGGGGTGAAGTAGAGAGGATGCCAGTCGGTCAGCTTGCCCTTGGCCTCAGCTCAGTGAACTTTATCTTGGTTGTTTTTTTTTTTTTTTCATCTAAAGTCTTGTCTCAGTTACCATCAACTGTAATAATGCAAAAAGTCAGATTCTCACTCTACTATTACATTTGCTTGGAAAAGAAAGCTGGTTATTTTTTCAAAGTCACATATATGATTTGTTGTTATTTAGAAGCTAAGTTGTGCAACTCTTTGTGACCCCATGGACTGTAGCACACCAGGCTCCTCTGCCCATGGGATTTTCCCAGGCAAGAATACTGGATGGAGTGGGTTGTCATTTCCTTCTCCAGAGGATCATATGCATATATATAAATATAATTATATAAATAATTTAAAAGCCAAATATATGCATTAAAGGTCGGTAGATAGGTAGATAGAAGTGCCCAGCTGGGGAAATCTTCAAACCTCAGACAGCCCAAAAGCAAGTCTTCCAAGTTAATGGCAGTTGATTACAGGAGCTGAGTTGTTCCTTCTTCAAGTTGCTAAGTAATTAACAAGAGTACTCTAACAAGAGTCAGAGTAGCCCAGTTGCTGTCACCTGAGGTGGGGAGGGGAGAAAGACGCCAGTAAGCTCTCAAGGTTTCTTCTCGCCTCCGGCCTCCAAGGAGCAGGCTCATTTCCCCTGGGCAAGGAGCTTGCCACAGCTGGCAAGCATGCCCTCTTTCCAACACCCATTTCCTCTACGACCTGAGCCTCACTCAGGAACCATAATTCTGGAGATGAACGGATGCTCCCCTTTAGTCTCATGCTCATTTCACTTTATCATTCAGGCACAGTTTGGCTACTAGTGCAGCATCATAAACCCGTCTGGCCCACATATTTTTCCCCAGAAACCACCTTCAGCGAAAAAGCCAGTCTTCCAAGGTGAGAGAATCTGAATGAAAACTTGGGATTCCATACAAACCGCCCATCCTGGCATTCAACCGGGAAGTTCAAAGGAAACAGGATCATAGAGCCCGCACTGTAAAGCCAAAGGCCAAATTATATGAGGAAAGAAGAAGGTGGGCTTCAAAGAAGAGGATTCACCCCAATCGCAGAGGTTGATTGCCCTCATCCCTGACTAACTGTTTCTGTAAACTCTGCCAGCCTCGGGAGGGTTGTATGAACAGAAGCAGGTGTAGGGACACCTCCACCCTCTGGGTACATCCACTGCTGTAGCTTCTGGGTACACACGACGTGGGGCCCTCGACCCAATAGCAGTCCATGCTTCCCCATGACGCACCTGGTGAGGGTCCTCTCCCACGTGCAGGCGTGGGGAGCGGGGGTGGGCAAAGCGAGCATCTACCAGCCTCGAAGCCAAGGAGCTGGCTCCGATGTATGGGGTGGAAGGTGGGGAGCATCAAAAAGGGCACCTCGGGGCCGAAATCTCAAGGCGACCTCTCACGCTTTCCCCCCATTTCCAGCACATCGTTTCGCATTAGGGACACTCTTCGCCTACAACCCTAGAGTCCTGCGCAATCTACTTGTCTTTCTAAAGCAACAGAATAAAGCGCCCACTGGCCTTCCGTGGCTCAGGTGAATGCCAAGAAGAGGTGTTAAGAGGAAAGGGCCCGCTCGCCACCACCCCCTTTCCTCTCCTCCCCAGGTTCCCCGAGCTTGAGCGGGGATGTGTGTTTTGGGGTGCGCGCGTTAAGAGGGAGCTTAAAATGCCCAAGCGTCCCTTACCTTCCACAGCCATTCTCTCAGAGCTTCCCTAACGCATGCATAATTTTCTTTGCGGAGATACTCCTCCTGCCCCGCGATCCCACCCCCTCCTCGCGTTTTCGTCTAAATATTCTGCGCTCATCTGCTCCAGGACCAACCTGCCGCGGTCACGCAAAGCGAGGCTGCCGGCTCCCGGCTCGGCGCAGAGCAGCCTGGGGACTGTAGTTTCCTCTCTTCCCAACGACCAGAGAGAGCACCCCGAGTCCTCCGTGGGGGGCGGCCCCGCCCCCACAGTGGGCTGGCAGCTCGGGTTTCATCGGACCCAAGCAGAGAAATCTCTCTGGGTGGGGGGTCTCATGGTCGGACCCGGGGACCCCGGGGAGGCGGGGACTACATTTCCCAAGATGTCGCGCGCGGGGTTTCGTTCCGCGCTAGGAGTAGAGACCCGTGATTGAGGTCTTCCCTGTCGATTAGAAGAGGGTAAGCACCTGGCAGGGCTCTTGCGGGAGGCAGGAGGCTGCGGGGTTTGAGGTGTGAGCTTCTGGGTTTGTCGCTGACCCCCTTGGCCACCTAATTAGTGAGGTTATCAGAGGCACCGGCCAGGTGTTTTTCCGCCTGGGCCAGAAAGCCGCTGCGCTGGGTGCGGTTGAAACTTGTTCCTCATAAGACCTAGGAGGTGGGTTGGGGAGAGTCTTGCTGGGTGATATGACTGTTGTTCTGATCCTCCAGGTGGTTCAGATGGCTAAGCAGCGAAGGGATGGGAGATGGCTTGAGAATTCCGAACAGGCATCTCCCCAAGGGGTTATTAGGAACAAAATCTAGGAACCAGGATTCCACCTGAGCTTGTCAGATGTTGGAAACTACTTAGATTCCAAGAGTGGAGGCTTTCAGCTTGGCTGGCCTGGGAGCCCCGTGGTGGTCTGTTGATAGTCTAGTAATTAAAACCATCTAGTGCGTTCTTTCAACTTACGCACGTGTGCCCAGACCGGAGGTGCTGGAGTGCGATAAGGGGACAGGAAGAAGAATCACGCGGGAGGCAGTAGAATTCCTGAGTTGGTAAATACTGATAAAAATGAAGTTTCCAGACTTTTTTCTTTCCCCTGCATGTGAAAATACAGATGCATTTATCTCTGGCAGAGGTAAGGGAATGGCATTGGGAACCAATCTGACTCAGGACTCCAGTAAGATTTTTAAAGGCTCATTGTTAATCGGCTATACCCCAATACAAAATTCAAAAAATAAATAAATAAAGTTTGAAATAAGAGAAAAGGCCTTGAGCTCAGAATTGCATATGGCACTGCTTCCTCCCAGCCCCTAGATGATCTGCCCCAGCCCTATATTTAATTTTTAATTACTCTGGAAAATAAGGAAATACAAGGATCTGATTCTTCCTGTCATGATGACTACTTAGATTTTCTTTGTCCCTCTTGGTCATAATTTTTTTTTTTTTTATTGAGCATTTTTGTTTCTGGGTGTGTACGTGCACGCCTCATTTTATGGTCACTGAGTATATGCTTTGTCCTCCTATTGGGTAACATGGTTGTGTCTGGGCACTTTTAAAAATACCTGTCTGTAAGCAGTAAATGCTCTTGGTGATACTTTTTAACTCTGAGTTCATAGCTGTATTCGAGTCAAATCCATGCCTTCCATCCTTGATACAGTAGAGAGAGTCCTGTTCAGGGCAAAATAATTTTTCCAACCTGACGTGCAGGTCAGCATTCTAAAGTCCAGAAGGAACTAACACACAAGTGCTTCTCTTCCAAGTATATAAAATCAGCAAACTGTTAAGTCTTTCCTTAGATTGAGTGAATGGTAAAGAAAGCCATGGACAGGTAGTATCAACAGTTCTTAGCCTTGTCTGTACATTTGCCTTTTACAAACACACATTCTTAGCCTCACCTTAATCTCACAGAGTTAGGCTTCCTGAGGGTTGGGGCAGGGACACTTAAGTTTTAAAAATCCACAGGAGATTCTGACCGGCAGCGAGGGTGCACGTCATTGGTCTGTTTTCAAGCTTTTAAGGATCTGATTAATATTAAAATGTAAAAGTCACTGAAATCCATTTTTAATTTAAAAACTTCATTTCAGCTCCGGTTGTTAAGATATTTCCCCACTGATGTACATTTCAGTTTGAGTTTCATTTTTAGCATAAATGTAAATAAGATGTGAAGAAATCATTAGTTTAGCCACAAGAAATAGAAATATTTACCTTTTTAAATCCTACAAATAAAGCAGTTTCATGTGGTTCAGCCTAATAAAGGGGAAGCAGTAGCTAAGCAGGGATTTTCAGTTTTGGCTGAATATTAAGATTACCTGAGAACCTTGGGAAACAAAAACAGTTCCCACTAGAATGGTCCTCCCAAAAAAAAATACCAACTCTTGGCAAGATTGTGAAGCAGTCAAGGACTCATGTGTACTACTGGCATTGTGCGAGTTGATGCAACCACTTGGGAAAAACCATTTGGCTTATTAAGCTGAATATATCCTTATCCAGTGAGTGACCCAGCAGATCCACTCCTAGGTGTGTACCAGACTGATGTGCATACACATCTTTCTCCAAAAGACATATAGGACTCTTCTTGGCTATAGGACTGTTAGGACATATAGGACTATTCATGGCCATATTCATTATTTTTGTAATAACTACAGACTGCTGCTGCTGGGAAGTTGCTTCAGTCGTGTCCTACTCTGTGCGACCCCATGGACTACAGCCCACCAGGCTCCCCCATCCCTGGGATTCTCCTGGCAAGAACACTGGAGTGGCTTGCCATTTCCTTCTACAATGCATGAAAGGAAAAGTGAAAGTGAAGTCGCTCAGTCGTGTCCAACTCTTAGCGACCCCATGGACTGCAGCCTACCAGGCTCCTCCGTCCATGGGATTTTCCTGGCAAGAGTACTGGAGTAGATTGCCATTGCCTTCTCTGAAATACAGACTGGAAGCACTCAAATGTTCAATAATAGGTTGGATAAATTAATTTATATGATATCCAGTGTAGTGTGCGTGTGTGTGTGTGTGCATGCTCAGTTGCTCAATCATGTCTGACTCTTTTTGACCCCATGGACTGTAGCCCACCAGGCTCCTCTGTCCTTGGGATTTTCCAGCCAAGAATACTGGAATGGCTTGCCAGTACCTCCTCCAGGGAAACCTTCCTGACCCAGGGATCAAATCCGTTTCTCTTACATCTCTTGCATTAGCAGGCAGGTTCTTCACTAGTGCCACCTGGGAAACCCCAATTAGATAGTTGATAAATGATCTATCAGCCACTCTATCTATGCCTTCTCATCCTTTGCCACAGCAAAGTGATAGTACCATTCCATTTAGCAAGTATAGTTTGAGGACCTACTGTGTGCCAGACACTTGTCTGGACTCATGTGATATACGAGAGACTGGATTTCTAGAAATGGCCCTCAAGAGTTTGTGCTATAATCCCTGAACCTGGGAATGTGATGTCAGTCCTCCTCTCATTGTGAGGAGGCACAATAGGGGCTTCCCAGGTGGCTGCCTGCCAATGCAGGCGATGTGGATTTGATCCCTGGGTTGGGAAGATCCCCTGGAAGAGGGCATGGCAATCCATTCCTGTATTCTTGCCTGGAGAATCCCATGGACAGAGGAGCCTGGTGGGCTGCAGTCCATGGGTCTCAAAAGAGTTGGACATGACTGAGCATGCAAGCACGCATGCAGGAGGCCCAGTTGACCTTAAAAAGGGAAGATTATCCAGGTGGGCCTAGTCTAATCAAGGAGTTTTCTCCAGCTGGAAGCAAAAGAGAAGGGCAGGAGAGGAACTCACAGTGACTCTAGGCATGAAAAGTACTCAACACGCTGGTTACTTATATGAAGGTAAAGAGGGCCCCGGCAGGCAGCCAGCAAGGGCACATGGACCTCAGCCCTGTAGATGTAAGAAACTGGATTCTGCCAAAAACCTGGGTGAGTCTGGAAATGGACTCTTTCCCAGAGACTTCCGATAAGCTTCCAAACCACCAGACACCTTGATTTAGGTCTTGTAAAACCTGAGCAGAGAACACAAGTGTGTCCACTCAACCGTCTGCACTGTAGGGCTGTGGGCTAATAAACCAGCCTGTTTTAAGCTGCTAGATTTACCTATTTTATGTTAATTTATGTGTTTAGTTTAAAGCAGTAGAAGCAAACACCAGGTACATCCTGTTAAAGCAGGCAGTTATTGTCCCATTTTTGTGGGTGGAGACAGACTGAAAGAATGATCATAATTCCAGTGCTAACAAAGTTCATCAGAATCTCTGGAGGTAGGACTCCCATACCCAGTTCTGTTTTTCTTTTTTTCAAGTACTCTAGGAGATTCTAATCTGTAGCTTCTATTGCACAATCCGTTAAAGGGATAGAGACCAAAATGTCTGGGTAAGAAGTAAACAGGGGACTTGGCATCCTCCTCTGTTACCTGCTTTGTTATCCCATCACTAAGTCTTTTTTTTTTTAACTTTTTATTTTATATTGGAGTATAGCTGATTAGCAATGTTGTGATCATTTCCGGTGGACACCAAAGGGACTCAGCCATCCTTGTACATGTATCCATTCTCCCTCAGAGTCCCCTCTCATCCAGGCTGCCACATAACATTGAGCAGAGTTCCCTGTGCTGTACAGTAGGACCTTGTTGGTTTTCCATTTTAAATATAGCAGAGCATCACTGAGTCTTGTTGCACCTTCTTGAGTGCTGGCTTCCTCTCCACTCCCTCCTCTTCATTTAAGTAGTATCCGTGTCTCGACCGGTTCCACGGGGACAGGAGTGGACCCTAGTTCTGCTCACTTTTGATGTTCCAGCCACCAGCACTCTGGCACATGATGAATATTTAATACATGTATTATGCATTTATAAATAATGCCTGACTGAAGGAGTTTGTGAATAAGCTACCTAATGATGATTAGGTCTCCATTTTCCCCCATGAAACTGCAAGTTCATATTTCATTTTTGTTTGTTTTAATTTCCCTACTCTTAGGAGTAGACATTTTCATCAATTGAAAAATGAATATTATGTATTAACGCAAGTATGTGGTCTCCAGAA